ATACGCGATCGGCGACTTCGTCCTCGTCCACACGACCCGTTCAAGTGTGCCCAAAACCTCCTTTTGCTGGGATGGCCCAATGGTTATCAAGGACACTGTTTCTGACTGGGTCTACATCGTCGAAGAAGTACGCCCCAAGAAGACCCACCACGTCCACGCCGCGCGCCTCAAGGTCTACAACAACGCGTCGAAGAAGCTCTCGTCTCAACTACTTGACGCCATCGACTTCTCAAGCATGGTCACCGAGGTCGATCATTTTCAAGGCCATCGCATCAATGAGGCCGGCATCATGGAGCTCGACACGGTCTGGCTCGGTATCGAAGGCAGCTCGTGGAAGCCCGTCACCATCATGGCCGAAGACGTCTACCTCAAGTACAAGCAGTACATGTCCAAGGCCTGCGCACAAGTTCAACCCGGAACGATGGCGCACAACGAACTCACGGCCATCCTCCGCGAATTCCCGACCGATGCGTCCAGCCAGTACGCAGCCAAGGCGGCTCGCATGGGCCGAACACAGCGTAATCGTCTCCAGAAGAGCAAGGCTCCCGCCAAGTCTACAACCCGTCGCGGGCGTCTTTGAAGAAGGGGTGTGTGATGCAGCGCACCTACGACAACTTGTCTTTGACTCGTTCCGTCTCTCGCGCCTCGTCTCCGTTCTGGTCTTCACTTCTCTGGTCTTCTCTTCTCCACGCTGGTCTTGCATTTCTCTTCCGTGGTGCATATCTACGACAGTATTGACCAGCTAGCTAATCATCGTAATTCAGTTTCATAATTGCCTCGTCGAGTCCAAGTCGCCAATCTCAAGGCTTGGGCCCCAGCTCGAAAAGGCAGCACACACCTTGCTTTCTCAACCCGTCTCTGACAGGAAATAATTCTGGATGGACCTTCATTCATGCGCCACAGTGGCACCTCCTGCATCTACGGTTTGCCACATTGTCAGAGGCCCATTCTTTGAAACTGCAATGGAACTAAGCTTACTACATATCAGTGCCAGCTTATCGGTGTTGTGCTAGAAGCTACTTGTGGCTACTTGTACGCTATACGTGTACCGGTACCACCATTGCGACAAGCTTTCACGGACCTACACTGGCATCTTTTTTGATCGGGTTGTGACGACAACCCGATCAATCTGGTTCAGAAAGGTATCGCGTGGTCGGCTTCAACGACGGACGAGAGCGTCCTCAGTATTGTTTTCGCGCCACCGACCAAACGCAAACGCCATTATTGGCGACGATGGCCTCGTCCGTGCTCCGGTCG